CTAGTCGTAAAGACTAGGTGCCATCACGACACCTTACGGAGGGTTAATTTGGGTCGTGACATTAATATTTTTGTACAAATTAAATTTCACACACGGAAAATTTTAACTCATAAATATTTTAACTCAAGGACCTCGTCTTTACATAACTTCCACCGCGGCTTGCAGGCTAGTTTAAATATTTCACATCATGTAAAAATGTGAGGATCTCGTCCTCAAATCCGAATCACAATTATGTTGTACATTGTGCCAACTGAAATTTTCAATTTCCTTTCTTTCATCTTTTAAATATATTTCATAAATAATTTTTACAACATATAATGAACCCTCATACCGGTAGGTATAATTCATAAAAATTGGAATTAATTATTCGAACACATTAAACCCACTGTATTGAATAATAAAATTTTACTTTTGGACTTATAGCCCTCAATGGTGCACAAAATTAAAATGACAGACACAGGCTCACATCTTTAAATCTCTCAACAGGGATACACATATAAGTGGGTCACAAATTTATGAAGCTCACCCATAAGTGGAGCATAATAGGAGGATTCACCTCAATATTCAGAACCGAATCAAATTAAGGAAAATATCCTTTTATAATAAAAAACAAGATCGTACCTGTAACGACACCATCTGGTATATTGGCCTCAGCCAAATCATAGTGATTAAATCAATGGGTCGGGCCTCCATCTGATAGAGAACTTTTCAGGTTTGGCACCCATTTTTAAGTTTCTCTTGTGCCGCGACAATGGCTAATGTGGCTTTCAATGCTGGATCGTCAATTCTTCAATTGTCCTTTTGAGGGTCCAACAGTTCTATGTATCTTGTGCCACTACTCCATAGTGGTATTCACATCTAGCATCAGCTTGGTGCGAGGGGGACTCGGGGTTTGGCCGGTTCGGGCCACTAGCTACAGTAGACCTAGCCCGATTACCTTTGGAAACAAACTTGAATATGATTCACCAATAGCCAAAAGGGGTGAACTGATTCCTTCTAAGGGTCTCTCTTGGGCGAGGATTGTATTGGGGAACATTTGTTTTGGGATTATATGGAGCTTGGTAGGGATGAACATTTCTAGGAGGTGGAGCTCGGTTTTGTATATAATTTTGTGGCTGTGTGTAAGGTTGCGCGTTCATTACCGCATAGAGAGGCGGTGCCACGGCATAAGCAGGATCTTGGTGGGGATAATAGTGTTGTGGGACCTTAGGAAGCATACATGATTGGTTGAATGACCTGCGGCCCCCTCGAGCTCGAAGCCATCATGGCTCTCTCTTGCCTCCTGCTTCTGTTCATCAAACCCCAAAACACTCTGAACGGTCTGTGATGTGGCCTTAAAGGCAGCATATCTCAAGATTTGGTCCGTTTTAAAATCATTTTCACACATCTCCCAAATTTTGATAGCCTCGGCGAACGGATTACCCATAGTGCACACCATGTTCTGGAAGTAGTCTGCCTCTTGGGCCTGTAGGAAGACCGTAACCATTTGTGCTTCGTCCATTGGAGGCTTTACTCTGGCGGCTTGCTCGCACCGTTTGACAGCATATTCACGGAAAACTTTTCGCGATTTTCTTTTTTTAAATTGGACAAAGAGTTCTCTTTTTGGATTTTTTCACTCTTGCTTCTTTTTTTTTCGCTCTTTGTTTTCCTTTGTTATTTTTGTCACTCCTTTCTTTATTACATGTTTTAGAACCCTTTATGTATTAATGCTTCTATACCGCTTTTAATTATTTTAAACAATTATGGAATTTATTTAAAACAAGTCGCGATGTTGCGCACTCGCTTGTTTGTGTACATGTTGCGAATCGCGTCAAGTGAAACACACCTGCGATCTACAACATATTGGTTTTTATTATTTGAAGTTGGGGTCAAGTCGCGTGAAACGCGCACTTGAATTTGGAGTTACGTTTCGTGACTATGCTACGAGAATCGTACCTATAATCACGATGATTTATTAATCGCGATTGAAGCAAGCTACGAATGTTTATAAGATTGTTTACTCAAATTATTTTGAAATTTTTGTAAGGTCATGAATTATAGAATTATTTGTGGAAGAATTGAATTTATTATTTATAGAAAAGTGGGCTAGCTTAGAGAAAAATGGGCCAGCTATGTTATTTATTACTTTAGGCCAAATGAGACTAAATCTTTTCTTCTCCAACATCCCAAAAACCAATTTCCTTAGAAACAAATCATGGCCCAAGTAAATTATCCAACCCAATATCCCATATTCTGTACATTTCTTAAACAAAACTAATGACACCACAATCTCATGAACAAATTTAGTAAACAAGCCAAATTACAGTGATTCAATAGTCCCTTAATCCGATTAAATCAACTCAGAATAAAACTTTGCAACTCTAAAATTAACATCATGGTCCAATAAACATATGAACAAGGAAACAATCAGATTCAAATGATCCAAATATCAATAGAGTGAACTACTACTTCATGCTATCAAATAATCACACCAACAGACAAGAAGGTAAATGGATAAAATAATCAGTGAAGAAAGGGAAACAACAGACCTTTGATATAAATTAACAGAGTTGAAATTACAAGAGCGCTAAACAATTCGACGAGTGTTGACAGGAGCTTTCACCGGCAACGGAACCTCGAACGAAAATTCGCGACTTGCAACCCCGATCGACCTTGGAAAATCGGTGATTTAGTGACTTGTTTTTGCTGGGTTTAAAGCTGTATTTTGGGGGTGATTTTTTCTGGATTTTTCGAAAGAAAGACGAAGAAAGAATGACACGAGTAGAAATTCCCTTATCCTAGAAGAAGAAAATAATTTTTTCTCAATTCCCTCCTCCCTCTTTGTTTTCTCCTCCTCCCTCTTTGTTTTCTCATTCTCTCATTTTTTTCTCCTTCTCTCTTTCTTTTTTTCCCCTCACATTTTTCTTCTATTTATAGAAAGAATTTTGAAAATTTTCAGATTTTTGTTTTATTATTTTATTATTTTTTAATTAAACAAAATTCCCACTTCTCATTTTCTTCTTTTTAAAAAAAAAATAATTCTCCACTTTCCTTTACTTTTATTTTTTAATTTCTGACTTTTTTACTTTTATTATATTTAAATTCTCACTTTTTTTACTTTTATTTTTTATTTTCCACTTATTTTACTTTTTTTTAATTTCAACTTTATTTTACTTTTCATTTTTTTAAAAATTTTCACATTATTTTACTTTTTATTTTTTAATTTTCCACTTTATTTTACTTTTTTTATTAAACAATTTTCACCTAAGTTTACTTTTACTTTTTAATTCTATACTTCTAATTTTCCTATTTTTTTATTCCCGTCCAAAAATTTTAAAAATAAATAAATGTTTTCGATTTTTTAATTTATTTTATTTTAAAATAAAAATAAAAATAAAAATATTATTAATAGTAATAATTGACTTTTTAAATTATTTTTAATTTTACCCTATATATTAAAAAATGTAACAAAGCTAAAAAATATATATTAAATTCCTAAAAATATTTACACAGTAGAAGGTGATATAAATTTAAATATAGTCAAAAATTAGGTATTCACATTCATGAATACAAGCGCAAATACAACGAATACAGTACCGTAAAAACTGAATAGTAGCTATAGGAAGTAATTATATATATAGTAGCAATATGAAGTTAATAGCCACTAAACAATAGTGGTTTTTAAAATTTCCTCTTTATTCAACAGCCCCATAGAGGGAATTTACCGTGGAATTGATCTCTGTAGTTGTTTCTTACTGATTCAAAATTAGCTCCCAAATTACAGTGGGAAATTAAAATTTGGCAGAGATAAAGAAAATGTGAGAAGGGTTATTTTCCATGTATTATTAGTGATCCATCTAAAAAGGAAAAGGGGTCACTAACGCCAAATATTGGATTAGTGGAATAGAAAACTTTATTATAGGTTTGAAATAAGAGACTTTAATAGATCACTAACAGTGTTAATGTTTGCGTAGGGTATAAGTGTTTGATTTAAAAATATGAGGGTGGGTTATCTATTAGGGCCAAAGAGCTAACATGACACCTCTTATAGACTACGAAAATGTATTTATCTAACTTCTCAATTTTTGGGGTTTACTCTATTTTAATACAATATTCTATATCTATTAAACTTAGAAAACCAAATTTTAATTGCAGTTCCATTATAAATATAGAAAGAGAAAGACGTTGTTTCAAAACGAGCAAATGCAACGTCTGTAACGTTGCAAGCATTACATAATATAATGATGCAACCATTGTAACGCTTCAGTTTGTTTGAAGCGGTGTATTAAAGAATATTTAAAGCATCCCATTTCAAAGAAAAAGTAAAGACATTAGACAACCTCTTTGTTTTTCAGTAAAATCCATGTATAACATCCCTTGGACTTCCAATCGTTCTCCTTTTGGACACTATTAGGAGATGCTTGGAAATTGGCAATCATATTTTCTGTTATGTTCTATGATGGCCAGACTTCTTTTGAATTATCAGGCCTCCAACGCTTTCTACAATAAAGTGCTTTAAGCTTGGTATGGTAAATCTATTGGGCTCTGATGAAATAATACGTTGTTTGATTGTATTATGTAAAATGTTAATTAGTGGAGTTATTATTTTGGTAATTATCAATTTTATTACCAGAGAAAAATATTTACAAGTATATCAAAAACCCCTAGAGTTGACGTAAATCCCAACTCTAGTACAATCAAACTTTCACTAACTGCAACCGCTTCTTCTTCAGCCTACTTCCCTAATCACATTACTGACAGGGCTGTTCAAAATCGAATCGAAATCGAAAACCGAACCGCAAAAGTGGCTTAATAGCTTATTGGTATCGGGTTAACGGTTTAACGGATGAGGAACATAATGAATTTTTTTTTATTAACGGCTTATCAGTTTGGGGCAGATTATTCAATTTTCTTAACGGATAATCCGTTAAACCGTTAAAACTATATATATATATATATATATAAAATTTATTTTTATCCATATGTATATTAAATAATAAAAAGCCCTTCCACTGTTCCACACTTCCACTTCCAGACTCCTGTACTGGACTACATTTAGACTTTAGAAAGAGAAACCCTAAGTCCTAACATCTAAAATTCTTAGCAACAACAATTCACAACACAACAACCAACCTCTCGCCTCTTCCTCTCGACTCTCGAGTCTCGCCGACTGCCTGACTCGCCGTCTCGGCTCTTCCTCTCGTCGTCTCGCCTCTCCCTCTCGCCATAGCCAGAGCCTAGAGCAGCAGATGGTAAGTTTCTTTTCTTGTTGATGTCTTCAGAATATTCGGTCCTCACTGTTGTTTACACCTTTAAATTCAGAGAGCATCTCAAAGTATTCAGCCATTTCACGGATCTCCAATCACTGAGATTTATTCTGAAATTGACATTCCAATTGTTGCCTTCTCTACCTTGTGTTGTTTTGAGATCGATGTTTGACAGTTTCTCTACCTTGTGTTGTGGATTTTGGCAAAAAAGTTCCACTCTAGGTACTTATTTCCAATTTCTTTGAAGTGTTGAAATATCTTAGTAACGACGAAATTCCAGCTTTACTCATGGACTTAAATCTTCTGTAGATATCATCAAAGGCATTTGGAGTACATCGGTCTTTATATTAAATATCCATTAGTATAGTTTATAGATGCTGGAAATTCAATTTGGCTTGTAGCTTTTAGCCTATGTTTCGAGTCATTCTAATGATAGATCTTAGGAGCTAGAAATTAGAAATACAATTTGTCGAACATGATAATATTATGGATATGGTTAAGAAGGCGGCCAAAAATCTGATTTAGAAATACTACTAGTATTTAGGGAGAATAGTATCTGATTCCTTTTATTTTTACTTTGTTTGACAGGATATTTGAAGGCTATTACTTGTAAGTATCTTCATATCCGCTAATGGAGTATCTAGCTGCTGCTTTATCTATTCTTGGATGTTGTTTCTTCTAAGTTTACCCCCTCTGTTTTTGTTTTTATTTGGTTATTGTTTTTGTTTTTATTTGGTTATTATTCTCTTTTGTATTTCAATAGAGAAATTTGGATAGATTATTGATGAGAAGTATTGAGCCTGTTTCAATGGTATCAAGCTTGTTCACTGGAACGAGTTTTATATTGAAGAAAGGTCTCAAAGATGCTGCTGCTGGAACTCGTGCAGATTTGAAATGCTATCTCTCTGTGTTTCTTAGATATTTACTTCGATTTATTACACGATTTACTAATTAAAAAGGCACAATCTAAACCGATAACTGCCCGATAATAGCTAAACGGATACCAATCCGCCCGATATCTTATCGGGTGGCTAGCAGATTAATACATTTAAAAGCCGATAACCGATAAGCCGAACCGATAAGAGTAAATAACCGTCCGATCCGCCCGATAAGCAGCCCTAATTACAGACTCGGATAGAAATTTAACTTCTTCAGGTAAGTTCCCAAATTTGACTTCATTCTACCTCTACAGTGTACTTCTTGTACAATTGTTCTTGCTATTTCTTATGGTGTCCTCTTCTTCTGTTGGAATATTCTATAATTCCTCTCTTACCATAAGTGATAAGTTCTACAAGCCAAGCTCATTCTGTAGATTTCTGCTAGCGAGTTCTTTCCATTAGCTTGCACTCTAATCCATAGGATTTCTATTGATGCCGAGCCACTTCAGGATATACAGCCACACCTTTGCAGATGATCTGCATAAATGTTGGTGGCTCTCTTGTTCATCTTCACACAGTGCACAAGCAGGGTCAGTCCACATACCCCATTTGATGAGCCTATCCTTGGTATATAGTCGCTCTTGAATTGCCAGGAACAATATGAACACCCACTTAAGGCTTTCTTGGTTGTTACATATCATCTTCTTCCACCTTATTTTTGGGAGTTCTCCTCTTAGCATATTGTACATTCTTCTTATAGAGAATTTCCAATCCACCACAGCTTCTTCTATCCTCACTGCTGCCCTTTCCAGATATCTCCTCGCATTGATGATCTTTCGAATAGTCCACGAGGCATTTTTGGCATCCACATCAATTATATCCCTGCCTTTTATATAATAAGTATGTACCCACTTAATCCATGACTTGTCATTTTTTTAGACAAGTTCCAGTAATGTTTCAGAATTGCAGCTTTGTTCCATATTTGTATATCAGCGATATTCATTCCCCCAGCTGTCTTAGGTAGACACAATTGGCTCCATGCCACCAATGCCTTCTTTTTTACTTCTGTATTTTCCGTCCAGAGAAAAGTCCTACATACAGCTTCAATCTTGTTTACGACCTTCTTAGGCAACTGGAATATCTGATACCAATAAGACTGTATGGCTATGAGCACACTTTTAATTAGTTGAAACCTCCCTGCATATGGTAGAAATTTAACAGTTCAATTGGCATTGTGCTACAACCAACCTTTTGAAACTTAGTGGCACTACAAGGTACTTAAAAGGTAATGTACCGACAGAGAATCCAAGTTGTTGCACTATCTCATGTTGTACATGGTCAAACACTCCTCCAAAGTATATACTACTCTTATTTATGTTAGCAATCAATCCCGAGTCTTTGAAGAAATGTTGAAAGTACTCGAATAGTAGTTTAGTTGATACCACATCTCCTCTGCAAAACATGAGGAGGTCATTAGCAAATCCAAGTTGTATTATGCCCAAACTCTCACATCTAGGGTGATAATTGAAATCTAGATTCCCCTTTAGTGTTCTGAGTAGTCTAGTAAGATACTCCATGGCAAGTACAAACAAATAAGGGGATAACGGATTACCCTGCATGAGCCCTTTCTTGCCTCAAATGGTGGTGTTGGATTTCCATTTATAACAATTGAGTAGGAAACAATTCTGAAGCAGCTTCTAATCAATGTGATGAACCTTTATGGGAAGTTCATATTTGACAGTATCTGCTCCAAACAAAAAACAGTTCTAGTGAATCATAGGCCTTTTGCATGTCCATTTTGATCATAATCCTTGGTGACACTCATTTTCTACCATATCCTTTGATGATTTCATTGCTTAACACCACATTATCATGAATGACTCTTCCAGGAACAAATGTATTTTGACTGCAATCTACTAATGGATCCATGACCTGTTGCAATCTGTTGGTGATCATTTTGGAAATGATTTTGTACAATGTTGTGTTGCAAGATATAGGTCTATACTCCTTGATGGTGGCAGGGTGTTTTACTTTTGGTATCAAAGTAACTGAAGTGCAATTTATAGGTCTATACATATCAGTTGTCTCGAAGAATCTAAGCACTTCATTTGTTACCTCATCTCCCAGTATGTGCCAAGTTTTCAAGAAGAATAGTTAGTTAAATCCATCACACCCTGGGGCTTTCAATGTGTCTATCCCTTCCAATGCTTGAAACACTTCATCCTTTGTGAATGGCCTGATTAATTGAAGTTGCTGAGCTCATTTCAAATTTGGCCCTTCCTTCATGATGTTAGGATTGATGGCAGGTAAATTGTTCTGGCTTGAGCCTAGTAGGCTTTTGTAAAAGCCAATAATCTTTTCTCGTATATCCTCTGGCCTTTGTAATAACCTCCATGTTGTGGATGTAAGCTGCGTGATATAATTTTGTGCTCTTCTCCCTTTCATGTTAGCATAGAAGTAAGCTGAATTAGAGTCACCTAACTTGAGCCATTGAACCCTAGATTTTTGCATGTAGATGCTCTCCTCCATTATGCTCCACTTTTCAAGTTGCTTCTTTAGCTCCTTCTCTTCTTCAAACTATTCTGTGTTATGGCTTATGTCCCTCATTTGTGCTTGTAATTCCTTCAGCTTATCCCTTATGTTTTGAATTTTAGTCTCCACTCTTATAAACTCCTTGTTGTTTAATCTCTTCAGGGCTCCTTTAACATTATTCAGTTTTAACCATACATTCATCATGCCTTGTGCCGGCCTATGGATTGACCAACTGCTCTTAACTATCTCTGCAAACTCATCATGATTTGCCAAGCAATTTAGAAATCTAAAAGGCTTCTTTCTAATGATGTTTTCCTCTCCGTCTCAATGCATAAAGGAGAGTGATATGAGAAGTATGGGTCTTTGATATGAACTAGTAAAGGAGGCATAGTATTCATCCACTGTGCATTCATTAGTGCTCTGTCTATTCTGCTATATACATGGTTGTTCGTCCATGTAAATGTTCTCCCAATTGTTTGAAGTTCAGTAACCCCAACACTCCTCTATGAATCTTCTGAAGTCCCTAGTTTCATATTCATGTACCTCATTTCCATGTGATATATCCGCCACATCTAGAACTGATTTAAAGTCCCCCATTATCAACTATGGATGCTCCTTTATTTCTCTCAGCTTCCTCCATAACTCCTTCATTGTTGGAACAGTATGCAAGTCATACACCGCTGAAAAGTGAATAATAGTGTTGTTGTGTCTTGACTGAATAATCCCATGAATGAGTCAATAGGGTCCCATACTATTCATATACGATCTCTAGTTGTAGTAGATCCATTAGTACACCATTCCCAGCCATAAGCTATTTTATTTACAATCTTTGCAATCTTATTGCTACTAACACTGTTTTAAAAGGCGTTTCTGGGGCGAAAGTCTCAAGAGGCATACGCCCTGCAATTTGGGGCGTTACGCCCGGGCGTTCGGGGCGTACGCCCAGAGACTTTTTCAAATTAAAACAAAATTTGTTGAATTAGTCCTTTATATAACACCCAAATTCTCAAAAGTCAGTTTGGTAATTACTCAAAAGGTTTAAAAAGGAACTCAAAAGTATTAAATTTAAAAGTGAAGACCCTTTTTATTGATTTAAGCTCTAATTCATGATTTTTTCAATTTTTTATCTTTTCCGCTAGTCTGCTAATATCTCCCAAAAGCAACGAATATACTTTATTTTCCTTCAAAAATTCCTTCAGCTCCTTTTGCTTATATACTTTATTTATCCCCCTGACATTCCATGTGACAATCTTCATTTGGAATATTGAGATGATGGAGTAGTTCTTTTGCAATTTATGGTAGTTTTGATTTGTAAGTAATTTGATATGTAATGATATGTGGTTTAGTCATTTTACAAAACTGAAGTTTGCTATTTCGCTATCACTATGTTCATCAAGGAGAAGTAATAATATATGGTACGTTTTCTTTGTTTCTACAGATTTTGACTGCGATGACTATGTCCAGGTATTTAAAAAAAATCACAATTGAATATATCAGACTTCTTTCCTTCATTCTTTTCACCAACTTATGTTAAACTGTCCAAAAACCCTCTATAAAATTTTTCGAGTCTCATCCAATTCCTCCCTGCTTGAAATTCAGGTAGTAGGAAAATTTAATTCGAGGGCGTTTAGTGCTGTATGGAAAGCAAGGTTGAAAGAGCTCTAATTTTATGGAGAAATTGCAAAGGGTCAGAATCGAACAGTGAAGCAGAAGTTGGAGTATTATACTCAGAATCTCTTTGTGTTGTTCTTCGGTTCTAAGCAGTCGGTAATGATGATACAGTCAAATCTCTCTATAACAGCCTTGTTCCGAAATTTTTTGACTGCTATAGTGAAGAAACTTTTTGACTTCTCTATGACAATCTTGTTCCGAATTTTTTTGACTGCTATAGTGAAGTAGTGATGTTATAGAGGACATATTATAACATAATATAATATTTGATTCCGAGAAAACTGTTATAAAAAAGTCTGACTGTATATGAAATTACACGTAAGTTTGAGAGGGTAATTGTGACGAACTTATTTTCTGATCAGTCACAAAGATGGTGGAAAATTTAGACTTGTAATCTGCCGACTTAAAATACTCGATAAGACAACAATAAATACTCCTATGAAATTTGATATTCCAGTGGTTTCCACTAGAAGAAAGCATTGATAAAAGCTTATAACCACGGAATTGCTATTAACAAAAAGTAAAACTCATTTCTACTGCAAAAGGACACTATCTCCAATCAAAGGATAAATAGCGTCAAGCAAAAAAATAAATAGGCAACTACAAAGAAAAGAAGAAAAATGGAGAGAAGATATGAATAAGGAAAGAGAAGGAAAAACGAAAAGAACAGATGTGTGAATTTTCAGTCTGATAATTGACTCTGCCATTGAAGACGTTAATTTAGCATTGTTTTCTTCTTTAGTTTTGTCGTAATTTGATTAATTACTTTTTCCCCCTATTTTTAAAATCTCAACGAGCGGAGAAAATCATATATTCAAGACATTTCTGTATACACAGAAAATAAAGAACCATTTTTCTAAATAAATATATACGTAACCAAATTATTTACTAAGCAAAGAAAATATACCAATCATAAAGTTTATGATATAGTTTAATAATTTGGTTTTCATATGTATGTCTTGCCTTATTATGTTTTGTAACTTTTCTGTATTCAGAAATATTTTTCCTGTTAACAAGAAATTCAATATATGATGTTCTGCTGAATCATATATGTAAGATGTATAACTTGTATCCATGATCCAGGCATATTGGGAGGTTGATATTGATACAAAATTTTCTCAACTCACAGCAATCCTTGACAAATCAGATATATCTCCTTTGAACATGACCTAGTTGCTTTTGGCCTCAACCATGCTGCCTTTTTGAAGAGTGGTTTGCATAACTGCCCAAACTCTGTAGAACAATCACAATATATGAATCAAGTAAGTAAACTTAATTGAGCCAAGAAATCAAATACTCTCAACAATATAGGAAGAACCTACCTTTCACATCTTCACTTTCTAAAAGCTTAATGACAAGATGGCCCCCAGGTCGCAGTAAACCATCATTCTTTGGAGTTGAATTTGAGCACTCTGAATCACCCGAATGCAATAGAGAAACTCCGCCAACAGCCAAATCAAGGGCTCGCATACCAAGTTCAGCGGATAAAGCTGCATCTCTTATTCTTATTCCAGAAACTAAGGGGCACATATCAGACAGTACGACATCAAATCCTTTTTCCTGAGGAGAAAGAGCCTTGAGTTTGTTCTTGGGAAGGTTGAGAGCATCAGCACAAACAGTTTGAACTCTTGAATCACAGTGCATAGGAGGAACCTTTACCTTCTTGAGATCAATTCCTACAACAACACCTCCATTTTTCAGTGGGCCCAAACTCTGACATGCCACCTGAAGCCATGCGCCAGGAGCACACCCAAGATCGAGTACAGAAGAACCAGGGGTTATCAATTTGTATTGTTTCTGCATCTGAAGCAACTTGAATGCAGAGCGAGCAACATAACCAAGGCGCTGAGCTTCCCTGTAGAAAAAATCAGGTGTACCTGCTTTGCTCATTCTTCTTATTTAATGCAATGCTTATCTTGTCTCTAATTTCATGGGAAATTCAGAAGCCTTGTGGAATTAATTTTGGTTCCCAGTGTCCTGGTTCAAAAAATAAAGTAGGTCATCAAAATTAGTAGTATTAATTAAAGAGGAATTTTCAGAAACCACTATTGTTTAGTGGCTATTAACTTCCTATAGCTACCATATACATAATTACTTTCTATAGCTACTAATCAGTTATTACAGTAGTGTATTCGCTGTATTCGTGCTGCTGTATTCATGAATACAACAACAAAAAGCACCTAAAATCAGGGCAGTCCAGTTGTACGCGTATGTATTCACATGTATTCACGCCATGTATTCATGAATACAGTAACGGCAATCACCTTAAAAATAGGTATGTCCAGCTGTCCAATAACAGAAATAATATCAATTAGTGTGATACACTCCTAATATAACTCAACAAAATCAATTCTAACATGCCTCATTATCAACCCAATTAATTAGAATGATTTTTCAGTTGTCTATAAATATTGTATTTAACTTTTGTATTTAGTGTGTTTCAATATTTTTTTTTTATTGTTGCATTCATTAGATTCAATGTTTGTATTTACTATATTCGTTATTTTATATTCAGTGTATTCAAATGTATTTGTATTAACAGTATTTTAGTTATTCCTAATACATGTTATTACTGCTGTATTCAGAATATTTTATTGGTTGTATTCACTATATTTCTATTTGTATTCAGTGTATTTCATTGTATTTTAAAATTAAATGTATTCAATGTTTATACTCTGTTCTATTTTAATGTTAATATTCAGTGTATTTCAATATTTATATCCTGTATTCATGCATACTATATGTACGGTATGCATGAATACATGTGTATTCAGATGTATTAAAAAAATACAGATCTTCGAAATACATAAAATACATGCAAAAAAATGTATTTATAAAAAAATACAATGTGTTTGAGTGAATTTGTACAGAATACAATGTATTTGTATCATTGTAGGTGACTAAATAGCAAAGAAGAGAAGAAAGTTCGCCGGAGATGGCGTTTTCCGGCCAAGAAGAGAAGAAAGTTAGTCGGATCCGTACAACAAATTTATGATCAGTGAATCAATTTTCTTTTTCTCAATAAAATACATTGTAGTAGTAGGTTACCAAAGAAAAATATGAAACCATGCCAACAAATGTTAGTGAATCTTCATTGCAGCCCTCAAGTTAAGCAACAAACGCGAAAAGAAAAACCAAAAGGGAAAAACAAATTGCAAAAGAGGAAAAATCCAGTAGGTAATTCGTAAACATCTATGTCGTATTGCAATTTATAAAGCTTGTCTGGGGAAGTTGCTCGAAGAGACAGAGATTCTTCTTTCTCGTCGGCCATCAATACTAGGGCTTGAGTTGCTCGAAGAGAGAGAGAACGAAGAAAAAATCTGAGAGAATCTTGTGTTAATTGAAAGAAAGAGAGAAAAAAAATATAAATAGCGTATTTCATGCCTCAATGGTAGTATATACCATAAATACCTATTTTGCTATAAAATATAAAAAGAAGCTATAGAATAATATTTTAAAATGATTTTGGTTTATAATAAATAAGGTGTATACCTTTGCTATATGAGGTAAAATTTCCTTAATTAAATCTAAATTGATGGAAGTTTGTTAGGCATTTATCTATAAGAGCTTGTTTGGAAAGCCACTTAGGAATTGGATTTAGGCGTAATTGAGTGTAATTACACAGTTTGGCATGTTTGTTTGGCCAAGTAATTACTTGGTCAGCATGGAATTGGGTGTAATTGGAGGGGTGTAATTACACTCTCCAATTCTCAAGGGGGAGGTAAGAATTGGTGGTAATTACACTGCGTAATTACAAGGTTGCTTTTTAGTTTCTTTCCTTTTTGTTTTTATTTTAATTTATTTTCTTCATAACTTTTTATTTCTATTATTTTAATTTTTAAATTTTATTTTTACATTTTAATTTCTTTGGAAATTTTAAAATAAATTTTTCTTTGTACATTATTTATCTTTTATTTCTCTACCTTTACTTCTTGTGATTCCATGTAATTGCCTATATTTTATTTTTTATTTATTTTATTATTCTATTTTTTGAAACTACACCTAATATTAGAAATAATAAGTCATTAACAAACTTGACATAATGAGTGATGCAATTAAAGTGAATTTTCGTTGTTGAATGTGGTTATAAACTTATTATGTTTCCTAATCTTAAGTTGTAGTGGAACTT